ACAAATCTGTGTGAAGGGTGAACAACACATTTGGGTAAAGATGGAAGTGACCTATTCCTCAGCAGAGTTTAGAGGGCACTTTGCAAAACGTTGTCATTACCTGAGAGCAACCTTCTCACTAGTTCTTGGTATGGTCTAAGAAAAGTCTTTACCTTTTTCAATATTCCTTGGGTATTCAGTGCCTCTACCTAAATTCAGCAAAGAGATTGTCTCCTAGTTCATCTAATGTCTTCTTTAAAGAACTTCTTTTGCCTTTGTTTCCCCTGGGCAGCAGCAACCTGTGACCACTGAGGTCCTCACTGTGAATAATCTCTCGAAAAAGCAGAGTAGGGTGCTTTGAAGAATTGATGTCCCTCAATTGATCTTGCTTTCACATACTCTTTAAGTAGAACTACTTAAAATTTTGGAAACACCAAAATGATATATTCTAATCTCCTTCTATGCATGACAGGATATGTCATATTTCAATTCTGGAGAAGACTGGACCAGAACAAGGAGACTTTTAAGAACTGTACCCACACTTTATTTCCAACTATGACATTACAAGCCAAGCTATTAAAGATATTGTCTATGAAATAGGTAAAGAGAACTCTAAAGAAGGAAATAGTTTGGTTCCCATAAATGTTCATGTTAGAGAAAACACACAAAGAACTGCTCACTTCTGCTGCTATGTTTGAACATTTCTGAAGTGAAACAAAAGATGAATAAAAAATTTAAGTGGAGAAAGACTTTATTAAAAACCAAATCTGTTCCCTTCCTTCTTTAAAAGAAAAAAAAAAAAGAAATCTGCAGAATTCTAATGATTTGTCCAAGGTCACACAGTGAGTTACTGATGCAGTTGATCAATAGTTGGATGCAATAAGTGAAGTGTTAAAAGTTACTTATTCTGGTAATGGATCTCTTTTCAATGTGTGAGGTTTAGATTGTATCATCTTTTCCCCAAACCAAGAAAAGTAGATGTGATATTTGAATTTTTAGAAGACCATGAGTTTTAATTTTCAAAGTAGGAGCTCATCATGATTCCACTCAAGAGGACAAGGGGTTCAGAGTAGAAATAAAGAGTGGAAAGATCTACTATCTGGGGACTTATTTTTCCTTTTATTACAAAAATTGGAGAATGAGCAGTATCCAAATTTAAAATTGCCTACTCCGTTCTGATTTACACTGTCAATTAAAAAAATAACTTGCAACTACATATGACCCCAAGAAGTTAACTATTTCCACTGAAAATTAAATAATATCCCAGTGAATGTTTCAGAAATAGGTCAACTAAAGAAAATATCTGAGAATATACAGTGGATTTCTAGGGCCATTTTGTTCAACAAAATAGTAACTATCATACCATTTGTGCTATTTGGGTTGGTACTATAAATCCTAACTTTTGAGATGATTGCCTCTACCTAATATTGTCATTATAATTGTTCTAGATTTAATTTTGCCACCTTCAGTTTCTAGCATAGCAATATACTACTATTTAGTCTATGGCATCTGCATAACATTTAAAGATTTCATCACTTCAGTTGTTTTTATTGTTTTTGTTCTTTTTGTGGCACTGAGGATAGAACCCAAGGCCTAACACATGCTGGGCAAACATTTAATAATTTTAATGCTGATGAAAAGCCCTCTCCTTTGTACTTAAAATGTTTAATTTTTTACATTTTAATTAGTGAGACTTGGGACTCTTTGTGATGCGTGACTTCTCATGTAAAGAAACTGTGATCAAAATATTAGCTCCCTGGGCCAGATAACATTACAACCACAGACCACAACCTCCCATAGTTAACTGGCCTAAACATGCAGGCAGGGGCCCTGGAAATGAACCACATAGCCTGTTGTGTGCATCTGGTTACAAACATGGAAAGAAAACTTCTCTACCTGGATCACAGATCAATATCAACCAAGCACAAACAACCTCTGCCATGAGTGAAGAGAGTAGAGAAAAAACAAAAGAGGAAGGGAACATTGTTTTACCATTAAATGTAAATTGTGAAGTAAACAAAGTGACAAAGAGCAATACTAAATTATTCATATAACAGCAAAATGGCAAAATTGTATTTAAAGGGCTTTTTCTGTATACTTTGCTCTTCTTTCAAGAAATCTTAGCTGTATCCATTTTAAATTTTAATTTGCCCTTATATTTACCTTGTGTCAGGTGTGATTTATGTGAGTCAATAAAAGGCATCATGTTTCAATAAACACTATGCAAAATAGCAGAAAATAAATTCTATCAGAATGAAAATCTATACTACTATCTGAAATGAATGTATGGACAGATGTCTGCATATTCATTTGCACTGGTAATTTTATCAGAGAGGAGGTTTGCAGAATGATGAGGGGAAGTGTTTGCAGGGGTATCTTTCTGCAGAACCAGCAAATTCCCAGAGGAGGCACTCGTGTATTGCTGGTTATAGCTAAATCTGCTTTGCTTGTCAGAGGCTGGGAGATGGTCACACACAGGACTATCTGGTCACATGTCTTCTTTCCTTGTCCTTAACTCCCCTTTATCATCCCATGAAGAGAGATCTGATTCCTTCATCCAACAAAGAAAAGCTTTCACCACAGTCCCTCTGCGATTAACTAGTGCAAGCTAGTCATTTAGAAGTTTCTGAAACTCCCAAATTAAGCTAAGCCTTTGAAGCCTTCAAATCAAGTAAAAACATTTTTTTTTCTGATAAGAGAACTATGATGTGATATAAGCTGTTAAAGCAAGAAGTATAGAACATTGCAAAATTCAGGAAGATAGAAATCATTCAGCAATAAATATTCACAACACTTAACAATATATGGGCTTAGTACTTTATAAAGAATTTCCAAAAGGTTTGATAAAGTCTTTAACTCAACACAAAGATGTATTCACTTCTTTATATCTGAATGCATTCTGAGAAGTTTATAGCAGATTTGACATTAAAAGCCTAAAATGCTGAATAATGGGGAGACTGGCAAAGAAATCATGCCTAAGAAGAGACAGTGGTTTGATTTTTTAACCAAGGAAGGCTGAACAGTGGCCAAGTCAGCATGCTCCCAACCCTCTGATCCTCATTGGATACTGAAATCTAGAGTCAATTCAAGGGTAAATTGCAGTAACATAGATGCTTTACAAGAACCTTTTTATAAGAAAGGGAAACGCTCTGTGCTATTAAATCAATAAAAGTAGACTTAAGAAGAGTTGTGAGTCTGTCAACTGATTGTTAACACAATTCTAATGACCCATTGCAGTCCTTAATTACAATAATATCTCACATTGTAAATGCACAATGCCTTTTTATTAAAGCTGCAAACCTTAATGGCTTTTAGCAGGGTGATGGGCTGTACTACTGATTGTTTTCTTTATTTTTCTTTCCACAGGCAGACTTTCAGCTAGCTCTACCAGATAAAACTATTAACAGTGAATGCCACCTAATTGCCTCCAGCAACCAGTCCATATTAAATAGTAACATATAAGCAAGACTTCTATAAAGTTGCCAGCTTGACTACCTGCCTTCATGCCTTCCCAGTTTAATTCAGACTTTTCCAAATAGAACTAGAAATAAAGAAAATGAATCTTAGTGAATTTCTCCTTTACATAGAGAAACAAGAGCTTTGGTCAACACAAGTCAAACTAGTTCTTTCAGAAAGAAATGATTTTGATGAGTTACTGAAAGCAACTATTTTTTTCCTTAACTCTTTTTTACCCCTTAACAACCTGTATTTACAAAGATATGCTTAAAATTATTTTGATACTGCTGGCAGTATATCTATGAAAACTTTCCTTTAAAAAAAAAAAGGTTGCCACTGATCCTAAACTCTTGATATAGGTATAGATATATACTGCTGTTTATCTGTTAATATGTTTTAAAATGCATATAATGCATAGTGTCACTTAGCAGGGGCCATATATTGATGATACATTTTCTTTTTCTTTTTTCCTTTAATATAAAGTTGTGTTCATCTACTTCTGTATGAAAATGATCTGGACACCTGTCTGGTTACAGAAATAATGAAAGGCAGAATCTTCCTTATAGATACTACCCTTAATAAATGAACTAATAAAGACAAAATATTTCTTGGAAAATAAAACAGCTTTTAAGAATATCCATGTTTCAGAATGCATATCTCCAAAATCTTGAGACACTCAATCCTTGATGGTTTCTCAACAGTTCCTCATTCTCCCAGTACTGGGTGAACTCATTACTCGTCTTTACTCACCTGAACTATGACATCTAAGAAATCCGTAGGGGTTAACGATCTAAGGCATGAAGAAATACAGAACAAAGGTCCTTTTGCATTAATCCACACTGGAAGGTTGAATACCAACAACTAGCCCTGAACCGTGTGCACCCACGAAGAAATCCACCATGCATTCAGAGAAGCAGGGCACCCTTTTCCCAGCTCACACCTAACGCACAGCCAGGCATAAGGGAAGCCGGATGCGAAGCCAAGGCAAAACCTGCAGATGCACCATATCAGCAGAATACTAATTACAGGAAAAAGCAAAGCAACCTTAGGTGAGTTCCACCTTCACAAAAAGCAGAAGGTGTCTAGCGCAGATGGTTCAAAGGACTCCTGAAATCAAAGGCACACACCCCCTTCCAGCCTCAGACCTCTGCAGAATCTGGCGGCATAAGCAGCGCGGAGTTGTGCCCCCATCAGTCCGAGGTCAAGGGAGAGGCCCGTTTGGGTTCCTCTTTGAGGACAGCGGTCCAGACTGCCTGCGTTTGCCTCTGCGTCCGGAGAATGACGGGATTTGCTATTACCCTGAACTACTTCTCGCGTCGCACCTGGTGTCTGTCAACACCGCTTTCAAGGCCGAGCGCCCCCAGCTCTGTCCACACGCCTGTCCTGCCTTGCAGAACAGCGTCTCACGGCAACACGCAGTAACTTGGGAACGCCAGGGAAAACTCCATATGGATGCCCCCGCCGGCTTTCTGCTCACTGATTAGTCCCGCTTCTAAACGCTCACAGCAAAGGCGCATATATGCCCAGAGGCTCCTCTCCCAGCCCCTGACAGCAAGCACACTCACCTGGGGCCTCTCTGACCTCCCGGCGGCGTCAGGCGCCAAGAACCTGGGCGTTTGCATCCGAAAGGACACGCGCTTGGTGGCCCGGCGCCCGCGGGCGCTTCGGGACCCAGTGCGCGCAGCTCGGCGCGCGGGGCAGACCGGAGCCACCCGTTTGGCACCTGCACGGGCCGCACCGGCACAGGCTCTTCCTCCAATCACAGGCCACTCCGCAGGGCGCGGGGACCCTGCCCGGGCCTCGGGTTCCCGGGTGCGTCTGCCTCAGCCGGTTGCGAGCGGCCCCGCGGGTTGTTAGCCCAGGCGGCTCAGACTCCAGGTCCGGAGCCGACACGGGAGCGCGCGTCCCTGGAGAGGGCGAGAGGGCAGCGCGGGAGAGGAGAGAGCGCGCGGGACCCGGGCCGGGAGGGGAGCGCAAGAGGGTGATGCTGATCCAGTCGGGCGCCGGCTGTCAGAACAGTCCGAGGCCGGCTCGGGGAGCCACTGAGACTTCAGTACCTCCTGGAGACCCAGTGAGGGCTGTTGGCAAAGAAGGCGAAGAGGAAGCCAGCCGCTCAGCCGGCACGCGCGCGCACACACACACTCACACACACACGCGCGCACACACGGGCACCCTCCTCCACCTCCCTCCCGACAGATCCGTACAGATGGATTCCTTCGCAGGAAAATCAAGAAGAGGGATGAAAGTAGGAGGGGCTGAAGCCCATCCATCTCTCCGCGAATTATTTGCATCTGAAAACACGAAGCTGGAGAGAGTTTTGAGAATTTTTTTCAAGCTTCATCCCTCCCACTCCGCTTTGCCTGTCGTGGAAGCCCTTGATCAATTGAGCTCCCGAGGCATGAAGGCAAAGTCATAAAACTAATCAGAACTTACAGTTTTCTTGCTTGATAGTTTTGCCCTTTCAATCTCTTCGGACTGCCCTAGTTCTACTTTCTTTACTTGCGGAAAATGTCCTTCCCTGCTGGGCTCTCTAATGCTAAACTTGCAAGATGTATGATTTACACCCAGGGTGGGACAGAGGACCCGCGTGAAGCCGGGAAAGAAAGAAGAGTGTCTGATATTTTATTTACAATGCGCCGCGGCTAGTTGAGTAGACCAGGCTTTGTTTTCCTCTGCTCTGGCACTTGGTTTAACCCCACGACTAGGTGTTCTGTCACAGGGGCTGGAAAGGTGAATAGATCATTTCCAAGTATGTTCGTTTTCATTTTTTCGCTTACTGGCAGTGGAACTTGCCCTCCTCTTCCCTTAATGGTGATTCCTTGGATACTGGTTATAAGGACACAGGCTTGTTTGCGTCAGCATCTCAGATTTCTTGTGCACTCAAACACATTTGCTCTTCACCCAATCCAGCTTCTCCTGGTCATTTAATTGCATTCTCTACCCTACGCCCACCTACTCAGTATTGAATTCCATGCTAATAATTCCAACACCAGACATTTTAAACTCCATGTAAATTCCAGCTATCATCCTAATCTACTTACTTAACATTAATGCTTCATTTAAAAATTTACATTTCCAACTCCAAACTTCCCTTGATTCTGGCCTGCCTGCATGGTCTTCTCCCATCCAACTCTCAGGGATCACCCAGTATCAGGATGCTTACAGCCAACAATGGCTTGGTTTTTCCAAGTATGTACTTCTCTGCCAGGGGCACTATCTTTCTCCAGATACCCAAGTATTAAATTTTGGCTTTATTCCTGAGTTCTTTGAGGTATTTGTGTGAAAATCCTCAGCCACACTAGATCATAGCATGTCATTTAAAAAAAAAAAAATTAAATACATTTTTCTGTTTTTGCCTGATGGGCTGGTCTCTGGAATGAGAACTGTTTTTATGATTGTTCTGTACTAAAAATCTCAGGAGCATAAAGTATTCAGGATGACCAAGACACAACGTGTTTGGCCCATAGTAAATGTTTTTGAATAAAGAAGCGAAAGCTGGCATTCCAGCCAGCATTACCCTCGGGGCAGGGTATTTGTAAACTGCTCATTGACTGGGCCACTCCCGCTGGAGAAGATAATAATGTGATGATAATCTCATACCATCTTTGTTTACAAGCTTATTTTAAGGAAAATATTTGGATACCATTAAAAGGTATTTCAGTGGTGCCTTTCCTCAAGTTTTCCTTTCTTTAATTTAATGATTCTATGTAACAGTTCAACTCCAATTCAGAATTTCATCCTGAACCATGCATCTCCATTCCTCTGTTTTAAACAGTTTCCTTAAACAATACTTTCTACAGTTTCTAAAAGGCATGAGGAAAGCTCATTAAACAAAATGCTGATTCTGGTTCTCACACTGACCAGCTGTCATCCAATTGTCCAAGATTGAGGAAGTTCTGGGTTTCTCTTGGCAAAAAGATGCAACTTATAGGGTCATGGTAGGGACAGGGAATAATACAGGCAGTTCCTGAGAGACACCCTTTCTATGGGTTGGCCAAGAATTGTCCCTATATGAGAGGATGGCACTTTCACTGAAATAGCATTAATGAGGATGAGTAAACTTTGTGCAGATCTGAAGGAACAATGGTTGATGAAGAGTGAGCAAGGTACAGGTTTGCAAAAGGAAAGGGTAAGCTATGTGTGGAAAGCATAAGTAGCACACAAAGTGAGAAAAACAGAAATGCACACTACTGTGGTGATTGCCATAAGCCCGATCTTGCAGGGCCTTCTAGCACCTGGGAGACATTCATATTTTATTCTTAGCAGGAAGCCACACATTAACAACAACAAATAAAGGAAGAGCTCCATAGGTTTAAGGTGTGGTCAGGTGAGGATGAAGATGAGCTTTATTAGGTTATCTCTGTTCTGCTTTCCCCATGATTTTAGTTGATTCGAAAAAACTGATTTTATGAGAAAAACAAAAAAAAAAGTATTACAGTTAACAGAAAATTTCAAAGATGCTTCACATTGTTTGGGAATCCAATAAAAAAATGTAAATGTAAACCATTATTGCAAATGGATATTTATAAAATCCATGTTTCCTTATAAAATTAATTTTAATATATATATATATATATATATATATATATATATATATATATATATATATATATGGTGGTCAGTTGAAGACTATTTTTTCTGTGCCATCTGCCATCTATAAGCTTGTAGATACTATTCTCTCATGCTTTTCTGAGTGTAGAAAACATTTCCATAGATAATTTATCTTCCAAAGAAGATTGATGCAAGTTAGAAGTTTCTGATGGGATTATTTATTAGATTAAAATCATATTCACTATATCCCAATCTTCCTTTAATACCAAAGATACCAATCAAGTATTTGATAGCTATGAACAGAAAAGAGATTAGTATTCAACAAACTTCTGGGGGCCATAGGCAGGAAAACTTAGATGTGGCAGAAAAAAAAAAAAAAAACTCTCAAAAAGATTGAGATTCTCACTGAACACAGCTATTCATTAACTTGATAAATCTTTCCTGCCCCCTTGCTATATGATCTTGAAAAAAGAAGGTATGGATACCATGAAGTTCTTCTGGAACCTCCTAATCTATCTTGAAAACACAGAAGTCTCTGGTACATCTCCACACACCTGTCATTGCCTCACCTACACAATGTCAAGTGTGGGAGCACAAATAGGGAACACATGATAAAAGGTCTTGAAGGCACATGTGTAATGCTCCTATGGGGAGTTTTATCAAGAAAACGATCATGTTTCCATTAGAATAAGAACTCCCTAGATGCTCCATTAAGTCTGGCTTGGTGAGGGAAATGTTAAGAATATTTCAGAAATCAGGGTTAAAAAATTCTTGGCTTTGACTCTATTTGTGGCATTGACAGTATATGAAAATCCCTTGTGTATAATTAGAAAAAATAATCAGGTTCAAAGATTTCTTGATGAGAGTTACCAATGTAGCATCATGGAATCTACTTTCAATAGGATTTCACTGGTCACCATGGTCCTACCTAGAATTCTTAATTAGAAGAATCCAACATCTAAACTAACACAGCTTTGCTTCTTAGATGTAATTAAGGACTCCTCTTTTATTATCTAAAAATCCAAACTTTGTACAAAAATGAATAATTACTTGGAGAGGATAACACTTAAAGAAAAATATACACAAAATAAAGGAACAGATTAAACAAATGTAAGTATTTTTAAGATGCAGGATACTTAATAAAATTTAAAAAATATTTTCCTTAAAAGTTCCTCTGGGTAAGTAATAGGTAATGCCCACATATGAGTGGTCAGAACATGGGGTTAACGGGATAATTCTCTAAACTGGGCTCACTGTACTAACCCCCACATATTTTCATTTTTAAAAAGTGATTACCTGCAACTCTGCCTGGCTTTCGTCAATAGGATATGTTACATTACCTGCAGAAGAGATGCAGACCTGAAAAGCCCTTATAAAGAACATAAGTTATCCTCAAGGAGGGGGGTTGCTTTTCTGACCCTTATATAGATAAGGTCCTGGAACTCAGGGAAGTAAGGATAATCCATCCTAACTATAAAATCTCTAAGAACAGGATCCAGTTAGAATCAGCCAGCATGGGTCGAAGTGACCAGGACTTGTTATACATAGTGCAGACTTGAAAGTCTGGTATCCTCCTGCTGTCAGTCAGAGGTCAAGTGGTTGACTTTGCCAGGACCCTTTGGGAACATCCCTGGGACCCCCAACAAAACTGGTAGGCAGGAGGGTGTGCCATCCTTCTCCTGAGACTCTCTCCTTTGAGTGCCCTTTCCCCCTTTTCTATCTCTTCTAATATCCTCACATTGTTACACTGGCAACATGTCTGAAATCCTCCTGGCATGATGGCAAGAACTGGCGAGAAAGGACAGATGTGGCTGCCTCAGCTCTATGAGGCCAGTTCATGCCTTGTATCATAAATAAGGGACCAACAGGCCTTTTAAGGAGTCCCAGTGCTTAAGAGAACTGGACACACTCATGAAGAAAGGTAAGTGAAAACCCTCAGGGAAGATCTCTCAGAGGTTTTTGGTCTGTGTTGTCAAAGATGCTGTTTCAGCTCTGAGTTTGCAAGTAACATATTCTTCCCTGAACCACTTATAAAAATACCAAAGAAATGAAATAGTACAGGGTAGGGATGGGAATCAGAGGTAAAGAATCCATTTTAGCTCTGCCCAGCAAATGAGGCTGCTCCTAATATTCCAATCTCCTCCATACATTCAGGGCTCTTCCCTGGGCTTGAATATTCTCAGATGTTGAGGGTCATTGGTTAACATTTTAAAATAGAAATTTAATTTTCTTCTGCGACACATCAAATTCCTTAACATTTTCTTTCTGAAGAACAAACTCAAACAGATAAACATTTGATTTGGATTTGGTATTAAATGCCAAAGCAAGAGAACACTTACTTATTTAAATAGCATATGATACTACTGATGTGCAATTGTATCTCTGAATCCAGAATAGTTGGAACACAAGTTACTTTTTAAAAAGCAACTCAAATCAAAATTGTCAGAAATAATACAGCTAGGCTGATGCTGTCTATTGAATTATAGTTGTTCTATAAAAGCCTTCTAAAACCTTCAAAGAGAAAAGCAATAATGCAAATTTCTGCTACACATTGCTCTATCTATCATTTTGTGATAAGTCATAGAATCTTTTGGAAAAAAAAAGTGGAATTTTACAATAATGCAACTTATCTCCAAACATATTGAGTGCGTGCTCTATGGCAGGTTTAATGC